CGGTGACGTCACGTCGATCATTGTGCACACTGGGCAAGCGCAGTTCTTAGTGAGTGCATTGAATGCTTTCCGGCAAGGGATGGATGAAATGCTCGGCCTGACCACGAAAGATTTCAGCGACCATTTCTTCGCAGGTGCCGGAATTGAGACCGGCGTCAAACATACGATCTTAGAAGTGGCAGCCACAAAGGAGTGGTGGGTTTGCGTTGCACGGTCCTCGACCAGGGCAGCCAAAAATCGATCCGACATGTCTGTTGCTGTCAGAGAATGTTGCCTTTGTTTTCACGTCATGCATCGCGGCATCGCAAGGCATGGATTCTGCGCTGGCAATGTTCCTCGTGAGGAAACCACCCAGGCTTATGTTCGCCAATGGGACCTTCGAGCCTTAGATTTTGCGAACAGTCCTCCGGGGGTCAAGGGTTGGGCCTGCCTCGGGCTCGAATTCAAACACTCTGGCTCTAGCCGAACTACACTACAAGGGCACGGTGGGCGCCGGAAGGCGGAGAGGGTGGTGAGAGGGGGTGAAGGGTTGAGCCTGCCTTGGGCTCGAATTAAATTATTGCCCCACTGAGGGCACTGTGGGTGCTTGAATCGCAAACTGTTTGGAGCCACGATGTTGCGAGAACAAAGTGTCGGGGGCTTGCAATGGCTTCTCGCAGCAGGTGGTCTGGCAAAAAATATGGCAGATGGATCTGTTCCTCCAGCATGGTAATCAACATTACTCCGAATCGGCCGTGCACAGCATGGGCTCGGCAGAGGAGGAGGCGGCCAAACTGTGCAGCTTCAATACCCCAGCGTCCGGAAATTTCAACGGCGAGGGCAACAAGCAGGCACAATTGCGGGCGTAGCAGCTCGGGACAGTGTTCCTTCGCCCTGCACACAATGTGCGGCGCATAGCGGAGCCCCACGGTATAGCGGCGCCTGCTCACAGCTCCGTTTGCATCGACGCAATCGCAGGTGGAATGCTTCCCAACATCGCAGCTATCGCAAGTTGGTGAACAGGGCTGAAGCATGGCTCGTGCTTCCCCAAAGTTTGCATGTAATATGTATTGGCAAGGTGGGATGCAAGAGGGGCTACGAGGGGTGTGGATTTGTTTATTCCCAAAGATCACCGAAATCAAAAAGTTGTTCCAGTCATCCTGCAAAACACATTCACAACTGTACCTGGCCCTTACCAGGCTCGCAGGAGAGCTGGGCAGCTCATCCGGCTGCCAGGCGTTGGCAGGTATGCGCGATGCGGAAAGCCCTGCAACGATGGAACATGCGCGCGAGCACGGGTCCTGGCACCCTCCGTGCTTTGCACAGCCATACCGAACAAACCCCACCAAAGTCGGAACCAGCCCTACGATCTGCAACACCTGTAGAGGCATGTGCATGCTCTGCACGCAATCGCACGAGCGTCTTATCTCTGCACAGGCCCGTGCTCGCCGCAGAGGTGTGGGGGAAATACCTGCAGGAGGTAGTTGGCGGCCTGCATGTCGTTAAAGCGGTAGGCGCGACAAGGGCGGCAGCACCGCCACACAAGTGGGTGCTGAGCATGACGGTGGGGCTGCATGGACCTGGCATGCCAAGCTATGGGGCAAGGACTTAAACTGGAAAAGCGCACCGCAAGCGAGGGTGGCCCGGGCGGCACCGGGCAAGCAAGGCAGCGGTGCTAGTGTATTGGGTCCGCGCCCAGATGTGGCATCCATCGCGTTGAAAAAAGGCAAAGCTCAACGTGAGCCCAAAATAAAAATGTAGTGCCGAATCTAATCAAGTACAAGCTGAGGCCTTCTATATGCCTTATATGAAGTCCCAGCTGTTCAAGCACACCCGGCACACGAGAACGAGAGCAGCCCTGAGGCAGCAGCAACAAGTAACTATCCAACAAAAGGTGAGCATGGCACTGATGTGGCAAATCGCTCGCGATGTGGTCCACACGGCAACATCATGCGCGGTAGCAAACGGCAACTAGCTTGCGGGGCCGTTCGGAGGTGGCTCGCGTGAGGCGCAGCGCGGTAGCAAACAAGCAACCAAGTGCACTGCAGGTTTGGCAGTTGCGCTAATGGTCGCAACGTGTCGCAGCAAACCCTCCTCCGTGCATGGGTGGGTGCATGACGGCGAGCGCAGTGACGTCGCGATTTGCAGCAGAGACAAGCGTCACAGCACCACATCGTAGGCGGCAAGACCTCCAAGCCATGTGCGAATGCACTTCAATTGCTTCTGAAATGAAGCTTTGATTGCGAATATGATGCATACGGCACCCATTTTGCCATGCGGAGTCACAAAGTGTCATGACCAGCACAGGATGACCGAGATCGTTGTATCTGTGTTGTATCTGCGTTTCAACATGGTCAACATTACAAATTCGATTGAAGTCCTTGACACAGGGTAGTCCATGATGCACCTTGCCTTGGGGATTTCACACCTCGCAAAAATGAGAGTTCCACCTAAGAAAATGATGTGTAAAGGAGATGTCGTACCATGCGTACCGCGTATCGACTGTGCTGATGTACTTGGACAGTTCCTTCGCAGGCATTCCACCACCCACATTGCGAGACGATTTGCATCGAAGTGTACGAATGTGGCTGATGCGTGTGATGTTATGATGCGTTTGGGGTGAGATGTTTAAGTTCGGTGCACAAGATTTACATCGGCCTACTGCATCTTTGCAATCTTGTGGAACCAGCGGATCGGGTGCGGGGAGTGACAGGAACCCGGTTGGGAGCAACGGAAACCATTTCGGAAGGTCGTAACCGGAACGGGAAATTAATAGAAACAGGAACCACCCCGGCACTGTAACAAGAACTGTCCCAGGAAACCGAGCAACCGAAACTAGGCTGGAAGTCTTGGAGGAAGTCTTGTCAGGGGGACCGGTTTTCGGTCCCCTTCTTTGACACCATTAACGCCTTATACTGACGGCTATGTTTTGTTCAGTAGCAGTAGGAATAGCAGTAGCAGTAGCAGCAGCACTAGCACCCTTTGGTCCCGAATTTCCGGTGCCTACAGCTACAATTCTGGAAAGGTCTGCTGGAATCATAGGTCGCCTTGTAGCCTCGGCGGTCCTAGTTGCTGCCATTGCCGCCGGCGCTTGCAACTGGCGCGACGTCTTCTCCACGGGATCTTTAACGCCACTTTAGCATTGTTGAACGCACCTGGAACCTGAACCCCACAGCCAACGAAGAGATTCTGACGACTCGAAAGAGTGCGACGGACCACGCATTTCTTCTGACTCGTCAGCCGCCATCCCAAAGCCGAAGGTGCCGTGGCCCACCGCTTTGGGAGTGCATTTGCTGCTCCAAATACGAAGGCACGTCGGCATGCTGTAAAGCGATCGCTTAATCACAACATCAAAGTCTTCAGGTGCTCTCTTTTGGGTCATGCTGCAGCCCTGAACTCCTGTCCTGGTACTTATGTGGCACAATGGATTGAAACTAGCACGAAGAGAAAAGGGCCAGCTGAAGGTCACTTGCTTAGGTTAGGAATCCGGATCCAAGACCAAGGAGGCAAAATCTCCCGCTTCCTGGGTGGATCTGAAGCCCTGGAGCCCAGATTCTAAGAACCTGAACCTGACATTAAAGCCTGAAGCCTAAATCCAACACTGCAACGACAAGCCCGAGGACTTTGATGTTGTGATTAAGCGATCGTTTCACAGCATGCCGGCGTGCCTCGTTCTTGGAACCTCCCGCGAAGTGTTCATCTGTAGGCATCGGAAATTCGGGAACAAGGTTCCTGCAGTGCTGCATGACATGGCATGTTGAAGACGTCAAAGAGGGGGACCGGAAAGCGGCCCCTCTCTTGTAAGCCAACAAGAGAAGTCGGAGGCGACAAGAGTCAGTGTGGGAGCTCCCCGGTGGTTCCTGTTACGTGGGCAGGCCGGTGCTGTTACAGAAACTCGGGGTTGCTGTTACGGAATCCCTGCCCGGTTCCCGTTACAGGTTCCCGTTACGGCAAAAACCCGCGTATCAACATACTCTCTGCAATCGGCCTCCATGCGGTCAGAATCATATAAAAAACATGTTCGATTCTCCTACGTCCTACGTTGGAAAATATGCTACATTTTGCAAAGTCAGCAAGGATGAGATCAAACGTATTTCGTCGCCGGCGTTGTTCAATGCTGGTCTGGCGCATGCATTTCGGCAATGCCAACAGCACTTGACCACACATGGTTTGAATGTCAGCATTATGGTTCGCTTGACTAAACATTCGTCACGCAACCACAATGCGCATGTCAATGAGCAACTGAGTCCCGTCAACTACATCGGCACATGTCCCCATCTCAGCATGAAAAAACGACGGGGCATGCCAATTATCATGCAACGTGTGAACGTCAGTCTTTACGGAATTCTGCATAAGATATCGAAAGCTTGGCATGCTTCCAAGATGTATATAGGCGGCCTTTTTCCGTTGCTTCTACATCCATGTTGTCCACGGGCTCCTTCGGAGCTGGTAAGAGTTGCCGGTCTGGTCGGCATGTAGCTGCAAGGATCAATTTGCTTCTCACTTCGCCTTGGCTAGATTGACTCCTTGCAGTCACCAGTGTCAGCAATGCTTGTTCTCACTCTCCCACGAGCACCATCACAACCATCAGCATCACGACACTGAGAATTGAAACGCCGCTGCCGTTAAATTGCGGGTGCTGGAACCGGGATGTGGAACGTCTCAAATTGCAGTGCAAGAGGCGCTGTTGGCGCGCACGCGCTGCCAACCGTCCATGTCGTGTGCTGTGACAGACTTCCGCTCAAAACGTTTGGTTGCACCATGCCTATGTTGCACAACTGTGTCAGGAAACTGCTAAAGCTGGTTGACAAATCTGAGATTGAAACCTGAAACCTGCATACTCTACTCATCTGTACTCGTGCTTTGATTGTCTGTGCCCTGGTACAGTGGGTTTCAGACCAGGGCATGTAGACAGAAACAGCAGAGCTTAGCTGCTGCAAAACACAAAGCCGGAACTGTGCCTGGACCGTTCTGCATGGCAGGACGGACCAACACCACAAGCGGAGGGGAAGACTCACAGCTTACAGCTCGTCATTTGCCATTCTCAGCTGTAAATTGAGATTGGAAGGTGTGAGGAAGAGCTGGGCCTGCGGCAGGCCGGACGTCTCAACTGGCTCGATCTGGTTTGTCTCTCACATTCTCTCACCCTCCAAGGCTTTCGCAGAGATGTCTCCTTCCAGCATTGGCCCCTTCTTTGTCCAACTGTGTGGGCAGTGGTCTGGCGGAATTTCCCTTCCTATCGAAACCTTCTCTCGGCTCTCTGCCGTTCGAGTGCCTCCGACTGAATACAAGCGGTTGCCCTTTGCGAGAATGTCGGACGCATCAGAAGAGTCATGGTGGGGGGGTGGGCCGGCTGCGAGCGACAGCGAGACGTGCGAAGTGTCGCTCTATTTGCCTCCCTCGTGCTCCCCCTGCCTGGCCCGAGGCCAAGTTATGTGTGTCTGCGTTCCGTGCGTCCAGAAGCTGATGCATCCTGGCGGACAGTCGCCAAGCTTCCCACATGCAATCAAGCACGGCATCCTGCCTGTACAACTCTGTCCGGTCTGCCACATCCGGCACCGTCTCGTTCAAACCATCAATGAAGGCCGCGGCACTTTCTACCTCGATCCCATCAACACTGTCGTGTCGTTGCGTGCACAGAGTCTTAGAGGTTAGTTGAGGTTGTGGCGAGCTCAGTGCCTTGAGCTTGTCCTTCCAAGAGAGCCGCCAGCCTCTGGTTACTCGCCTTGGCCAGCACTTTGAGCTAGAGAACAGAGCGTCCGTCAAGAACTTCTAGACCAGAGAAAGGCTGGACCTGCGTTCTGATGAAATCCGTACGCTGCTGCTCCAACCTCAGCGGTCAGTCCGGGAACGGTGTTTGAGCAGCTCGCACATGCAAAGCGAGCAGCTGAATGTCTGCCACCAGCTTTGCCGCTAAAACATCGTTCTCACTCTCCTGCTGCTGCAAGCGGTTGATGCCTCAAGCAAGCATCTTCTAAGCTGATCGAAGCTGCAGCCCGGTCGTATGGGCAATATTCCATGCCCCTGACCAATGCGATACATCTCAGACCACGGCGGTTCGTGCTTTCTTGGATGATCAGCTGTAAGATGTCTGCAGTCTCCTCCGGCCAGTTCACTGGGAGTTTCACATTTTGAATCAACCACTGATGCCTGCGACGGATCTCGATCCGGATCGACTCCTGATCTACCATGTCGTAGCGGGTCATCTCCATGCTTTGCAGCTCCACACCACGTGAGCTGTAAAAGCCGTCTGCTACTTGCTGAGCGTAAGCCTGATGCCGACAGAAAACTGATCAGGCCCAAAAAGGAAGCTCTTGCATCCATGCCTGCGCGGTAATGTTGTTGAACTGACTCATGAAGACCTAGCAAATCCAAGCAACAGTTCTGCGAACCCCACCTGTGACACATTGCCCACAAGCCCAAACTAAGGCAACGGCTGCAAAGGTGTTTTGGCTTACTGCTGATACCAGTCCACTCCGCGCCCGCTGCGACACATCACCGGCAGGATCAGCTGTCGTCGCAATCATGGTGAGGACATCCTGTGGCTGAAGCCATATGCGCAAAAGCAAGCTCAGGAGTACAGGCGCTTGCTCCAGGCTGATGGAACAGTTCTATACATGGCACTGTCTGTCCTGCACCTGCCAGAAGATCGTACCCTCGAGTCTCATTTTCACATTGTCGCTGGTTCGCACTTCCACATTGAAAAACCTTGCTCAAGCCAATCAAGAGCATGCATTCTGGCAGCTGTCAGGGTTGTCAAGCAGCATCTTCTGAGCTCGGAGATCGATCATGGAAACCGTGGTCGTCGGAACCGGATCCTGCAACACACTTAAAGCTCGCCAGTTCAAGATCTATGCAGCAATGCAAGCGAACTTCACATCATGCGCAAGGAGGCAACAAATTTGCACAGTACAGATCTCGAGGAGCACCCTGCACAGCAGTCAAATGGTTTTCTTAAGACCCTGAACCAGAATCCCCAAACAATCGAGCCTTCCGGATCCCGGCTGCAGCAGCAAACTCACGACGACAACACTCGATTTTCGACGGAAGTAGGCGGTCTTGTTTCATCTGCTACCATCTTGAGTGGTCGGGCCGAACACATCAGGAGTGATATTTCGCAGATAAATTCTGGCAGTGCCTTCCAATGAATATCATTCTATTAAAACCAAAACTGCAGCTGAGTCCTCACGGGACTGCCTTTCGTGACAAGCAATGCAAATCAAACCGTCGCGATTGCCGATGAAACTGGTAGATTCGGAAAATCGAGCCTGTTTTGCGTGCCTCTTCACTGACCCTTACTCACTCCCAGTACTGAACCTTCAGCCCAAAATCCTACAACGCCGCAGCACTTATCCTGCGCATCCGGAGAGTCGTACACGGACCATTGCATCTCCACTAGTTCCTGTCCAGTGGTTCCGTTTGCCTTTCGTAATCTGGGCTGTCGGAAAGTACCTCGGCCTGGCCTCGTACGGCTGCAAGAAGAAAGCCGTGCTGCCACTTGCTCCACTGATCATCGTTAGTGCACCTGGGCTCACCCAGTTGTGCCGGTGGAGTGGCAGATGCTGCCAGGCCACCGAGGACATCTCTTGTCACAGCGGCCTGCCGGTGCAAGGCTTGTCTACCCGGCTACCCCAACTGCAGCTCTGGCCGAAGAGCCTGATTGGTCAGGACCACGTATTTTGTTCGCACCTCGTTAGACGGAAAGATGCCATGAAGGATGAGAGCCGCTTCAGATAGCCGCAGCCTCCAGCACCTTCTCGTAAGCTTCCGGAAAGAAAACCCCATTTGTGGTTTCAAGCCGCCTTTGTCCAGAAGTCCTTCAGAGTCAAGTCATACAGTCCTACTGAACTGCTCGAAAGTACGCCCACTTGAACAGTTGTCTCCTGTTCAGGACCACCACGGCCTGCTGGTCGGTGAGGAAGACCGCCTCGCAAGCCGCAAGGCATGGCAACTACAACGACTGCCGGCGCTTGGCGGTGTCTGCATGAGACAGCTGGTCGCGAAAAGAAACATCTGGGACGAAGTGCCGAGGTGCCTTCTGAACCCCATCTTCGGCTTCTTCATTAGGCTCGGGCACGACTTGGTCGGGACCTGGTAGCAGGACTGTGCTTCCTCCCGCGCAATGACCAGCGTTGGGTCAGATCTTTCCTAGCAGGCTCGTAATTCAGCGAGTCTCGCGGCGTCTCACAACGAAAACTCCATCGTAACACACGACTGATGCAGAAGAATGCCAATCCGAGAGGGATATGTCATCACTCAAGGTGGTCTCCAGAAGCAAGAAGACTACGACGGAAGCAAAGCTTTGTATCACCGAGCTGGCAATAATAGCTTCCCGCTTTCCTAGAACAGATGAGTCTAGCACAAGACGAGAAGACGACTAACACAGACTCACGCTTCTGACGAATGTATTGCTTGCAGCGGCAACTATGCAGCACCAACACGAGCGCAACATCAAAATACTGAGAACCGTGGATAACGTAGCAATGTCAGCATGTCGGATAGCATGAGCTGAGCCGACAAATGTTGCGTTTTACTTGTACACAACACCAGACAGCTGAGAGATGGTGCGACATGACCTTGCTCTGACGGAGCTAGGAGCAGCAGCAGCACATCCCACATCAGCCCATGATGTCCCAGCATCTGGCCATCACACTACGAGTACGACGACCAAACATCAAGGAATGATGGATGAGTCACCCATGCCGTGGGACAAAGGTTCAGATTGACATACAGAGAAGGAGCATCTCGTTCCGTAACGCCCTTTTGCATCACGCTGACTAGTTGACTAGCCTCGCAGGACTCGCTCCATGCCCGTCTTTTTATCCAGGAATTGGATGTACTCGTCCTGGGAAGCTGTCAGAAGCAGGGCCAGGCCGCAAGCAGGTTGTACAACAATCTCCGCTCTGCCGCTCCTTCTCCAGAACGAGCTTCCGTTTGGTCTCCAGGATGCTCTGGCATGTCGCAAACAGCTACCGTCTGCGATCCATCCGCCACAATATCCGCATGCTTCAGGACTCCAAATAATTTCTGCTCGTCAAATCCTGGCCTCGTAAGCACCTGCTTGGAGCAGCTGCGGCCCAACCTCGTTCCGCGCCTTCCGCAAAACGCGGTGAGAACATTAACAAACCGCATAAACTAGAAGCGTCCTCGCCAGTGAGGAGATCTTTGACAACGGCATACTGCAGGGGTTCCAGAAGAACAGCCTGCAACGAGGTCACAGGCTGCTTACATAGCCCCTGTGCATGCAACTCGCACTCGAAGAATGTATTGGCGCCTGCTGCTCGCTGAGGATCTCTTCATAAGGGGCTGGAACAAAGGCACCAGCCTCTTTCCAGCCAAGTTACAACAAGCTTATGACATGCTAGGTATTGACGGCCTGTCTGATCAGGCTTCTGATGCCCGAGGTCTTGTTGTACACCTCAAGTCAATGCAATAGTTCGAGTGCGGGACCTTCTTGGATTGCAGTGCCATCCAGCTGCCAGGACCGCATTCTGCGCTCCAATGACAATCGCAGTCTCCACACCCGCAGGAGCCTGTGGCGCTGAATGACGGATGCCTATTGCCGAGTGCCACGACATGGTGCACGCACGCTGCGGCCGGAACGTCTTCAAGTGGTCGTGGGACCAAAGTCGTGGCACCCTCCACCACACGCTCTTCCCTGGCACACCATGCACGACAACAGTTTCACGGCTTCACGTGTTCCCACAGGGCACTCAGAACATCTCAGTTCTGCCCACAGCAGCTTTCATGACCAGACAGGGCCGTTTCAAGAGCCTGAAATGACGAACCGTGCAAGCTTCCCGTGTACACTTACAGTACTGCCGCAAATGGAATTCAATCCACCCACCAAAACATCGCCAGGGGTGACAAAAGATGCGGAGTCATTCAAAACTTTGCGAGTTCCCAGCCCATCAACGACAATTTGTCATTGGTGGTCACACTTAACATAGATCGCATTTGCTTCGAATGACGGGAATGATTTTAATAAAGGACAACCGCATGGCCGCGCACCCAGTCATCTTGTCCACGAGGCGGATGTACTCTTGCTTCTGCAGCACGGTCTTGGATCTAATCGCCTCACGAGGCGTCGCTAGGTTCTTGTGCAGAAGCTGCTGACGCTCCCAACTGAATCAAAGTCACATGTCGGGCTAGAAAGCAACAACGACAACTTCGACACCACAAGCAACAATTTCAATAATCACAATTTTGGTATTGAACGCTGAGCGAGTGGGCTTTGCTCTTTGCGGGCCAGTGGGTCAACTTCGGTAAGCCAGCGCCGTCCTTACGAGCGAGCGTGGTTTCGGTAAACAAAATAACAACGCATAATGTACCGTGGTGTGGCACCTCTTGGACAAGTGTTTCCTAGAGACAACAAACTTTCTTTGCTGTTGTCAAATCATTGCCCGAAACAAGATGCCCACACTGCAATTTCGCGACAAATCTAAGTGGGCGGTGCCCAAAATTGTGGCACGAGCGGTGCGCGGCGCCTTTCATCTTGCTGGGATGCGCCGGAGCTTTGGGGTGGGCGATGGACCCGCGCCCAAAAACCAAGGCGCGCCGAGCGCCCCATCCCCCGAAGCGACGATGGGGCGAGAAAGTCCCCGGTCACACGCGTAGGCCGCTTCGGTAGCTTCTGACTGCCATCGACGGGCCGTAAGGACGGGTCGACCACGAAGCACGTAAGCCGTCACCCATCACTCCTAACAGTCCTAGCACTGCCTGATCCCGTCCGTAGCGGTAGCAAACAAAGCTCGTCCCATAGCACATTGACTTGCTCTTCTGAACCTGAGTCCATGGTGTCGGAAGCTGCACTGACATCGCCTTGAAAGACAAGTCGGGCCAGTTGCCTTCGGATTCGGGCCACAAGCCCTCAGGACACAGCTGCCCAACTTTCCTGTTTCCAAACACTGGCTGATTGTAACGACGTTGTGCAAAGCCCCAACGTCGAGGGACTCGATGGCATTGGTTGTGTCGCAGCCGTCTACTTTGCCCGTGCTCAAAGGTGCACATTCCGCAGAACGCTGCTCCAAAAGCTCAGGCGATCCAGGTCCCAGTTGTGAAAGAGCGCTTGCAAAGGAGCAAAACCGCTCAGAAAGCTTTTGGCTGTTCCAGGACATCTCGTCCAAAAAAGATGAACAGGCACAGGCCTCGTTTCGAAAGACTCCTTCAAAGCACCTAATTAAGTTCAGAAGACGGCGTTTGGGACTGGAACTGCGCCTTGACTTGTTTTGCGCGGTAGCTCACGGCATCGGTCGCAAAACACTGAGGCACTGTCGGCTCACCATCCAGCTGCTGTTCGCGCTGGGCATGCTCCGGCACTACTGGATACTATTGGTTCCACTGCGTGGAACTGGTGGAAGTTGTCGCGGCAGGAAGGCCCAAGGATTGGGACTTGGCAGTTCACGGAAGCACTGCACGACCAAGGCTCCAGAGGATCCGCCTCAGTCAGAAGGTCATCCTCTACGATTCGCGAAAGAGGCCTGTTCTGGAGCCCGGCTAGCAAGAACTACACTTACACAGCTTGCGGTGAACCGCGGCGACAACAACCACCGTAAATATCAACAACAGGAATAAGAATCAGAAGATGCAACCGTGAGCGAGCGGACTCTGCTCTTTGCAAGCGATTATGCCGTCTTTGGATCGAGCACCCAGTGCCTTTGGAACAGACCTTTTGCGGGGAAACTGATGTCATGCGCAGGCACACCATCCGTGTTGCCCGACCGACAAGGCAGGCTTGCAGGGCCCCGGTCGGTGCGCTGAGCCGCTGCAATGCTGGGTTCTGGGATTCTGGGATCATGGTAACTATGCATTAATGGCTTGCTGGGATGTCGCCAGCACAGTCAGGCCGCCGCTAAGAAACAGAGAGAGAAAGGGAAAGCCAATACCAATACCTTGCTGAGTTGTAGTGGACATGCCAACAATGAAGACGACAAATTGCATCTGCACTGCACTTCACGATGCTTGCCGCCTCCAGTGATTCGTAGGCTCCCATAAAGACAAATTCCTGCTGGCGAGGCAAATCATGTCGCTCGACATTCTGCGTGTCTGGTTCCCAACTGTGGGAGATGCCCTCACCGGTATGCATGCTTCCAAAAGTAACTTCTTCTGCTAAGGTGCTGGACCGGGAACATGACGAAGCTCTTGTGTCCGCTCATGCTTCAAGACGGCAAAGTCACCTGTGCTGCACTCACATGTCCGAATCGAATCACTTGGGGTTCTTTGCTGGGGACCGTGCTTGTCGATACTTGCACAGCGTCTCTCACTTCACGAGTTATGTGCGGCCAGATGATCTCAGTGAAAGGACCATTCTTCACCTCTTTCGTGGTTGGAAAGATGTACAGGATCCTGCAGAGCAGTGCCAAGATTGCGTCTGCAGGCCTCGACTACGGATGTTCTGGACATGACGCCAAGGGCTTCTATAGTCACCTCCTCGTAAACATGGCACAAGTCTAGCACAGCCCCTTAACGTGAGAGCGCTAGTCAGCGGCCAAGATTCTGCTGCCGGTCGTTGACGACCTCGTTTTTTGTCAAATGCATGCTTCGAGGATCAGGAAAAGTTAAGATATACTGCAGCACATACATTGGTCTGCAAGGCCTGTGCCGTTTGCTAATGTTAAAGCGGCGCATGGTATCTCCAAAAGAAGCCCAAAAGAAGTGTGCATGCTCGAGGTCAGATGTGGGCTGCAACGCTCTTGTCAGCCTTTTTGCAGCTCTCTCAGATCTCCGGACGCAAGAAAATCACTCTGCATCTGCAGAGCTGGAGGCTTTCTCCAAAACTGTTTGCACGATCCGGTTGATCCTTGCATGAACTGCCTCAGGCACTCGAAAAGTTGTCAGGTACTGCAAGACCTGGAGATCCTCTGGGACGCACTCCCTGCGGCCGTGCAGCACTGCACGGGCTCGCATCACACGCAGTGCCTTCACAAGGAAGGTCCGATCAGTCAACAGCGAGTTTTTCTGGCCAACCCCGTGACGCGTTACCAACTCCTCCAGGACCCGAAGCAAGAGCCGCCGAACGGACCCCGGCACCACTGTTGCGGCGTGTGCTGCAGTAGCACGTCTGAGCTCTTCTGCAGCCTCTCCGGCTGAGAAAGGCTTTGTCTGCTCAACGGTGTCGGAGAAAAGGTCTATTATTTGGGCCGCTTCGTCCCACCGCCCCGACTGCACCGCACCTTCTGCCTTAAGCTGGAGAACGAAGCGATCTAAATTTGCAGGATCCAAAGGCTCTGTGTAGTACCTGGAGCCAGGATCAGAAGGGTTTGATGTTGCAATGGCCGTTCTGAGTGGCAACTTCCATGTGTCCTGTCCACAACTACCGTTGTATTGCCTCTCATTGAGGAGTCGCAATAAAATGTTAAGAGCTTCGCCAGGGGCCCGGGAAATATCGTCAAGCACACACAGCTCTGCGGTGAGAATGCCTCCCGGCCGTGTCAAACTGCGTACCAACTCTCCACCCTCCTTTTGAGGCTCTCGCACGATGACAGCATCGCCTATGAGCTCATGGAGCTTGGTATCACGGTGCATCTGATAAAAGAAAAACGACAGACCGGTGGATTCAGCAGCGGTCTCTGCGAGCATCGTCTTTGCCACACCAGGCGGCCCCTCTATGTACACATGCTCTGATGCTATCAGAGCTAGTAGAACTGCTTCTTTGCCTGCTTGCTGGCCGACAATCTGCTGATCCATTGCCTTCCGAACCTGCTGTAGAGCACACAGACATGCGGCCGACCGCCGTGCCATGACGAAGCGCAGCAGGCTACGTCGTCGGTGTATGCTATGGTGTTGTCAAACACAAGCCAGCTTGCTATAGAATGCAACTATGGCTGCAGGTTTCCACTGCACTACCCGGCCGCTCACGTGTTGGCATATACGCTTGCAAAAGCAACTCTTGGCTGCAAAGGATTTTTGCATGCACGGTGCAGTGCAGGGTTCCACCTTGCAGTTCGAAATCTCAGGCCCACACCGTAATGGACGCCAGCATTACGATGACGAAAATCAGCAAGCCCAAGCACACAAGGCCGCATCCCCTGAGTACAGACCAGTCAAGTCAAACATGCGACCGGCTACAGCCTGTGATTTTGCAAGACTCGCTGAGGATTCAACATAAGGGCGAATTTGCCAGCATTTTCCCCCATGGCAGATAAATCTATCGCCAAAACAGCTGAATTATGTGTTGAGCCACTCCCACGCCAACAGGCAATGCCATCTTCCTGGCCATGTAGGTGCAAGGACGGACCCCTGGTTTTGCATTGTCATTCTGTGCACTTCGTACTGGACTGGCGCGCTGGGCCTACATGACATGTCACCTCCGGCACAGCAACAAGTGTTGGGTACTCCATAGTTTCTTAGCAGCGACTCGAGGAGTGGCAGCAACCGCCTCCGCCTTGTCGTTTGTGAGCATTGCGCCAAATTAAGGCAAAACAACTACCAATGCCAGTTGGACACACTTCGAGGAAACTATGCCTGGCAGTGACAGCATCTCTACATGGCTGTAGCGCCCATTGACGATCGTATTGTCGGAGAGATTCTATGGGACACCCTCCACAAGGGACCTTGCGGCCACCGGCGTAGCAGAATGCAGTCCGCCGTTAAATGCATGAGGCTTCTGAGCAGAGTCACCACCATCCCTCAAGTAGCCAACGCAATTACAGCGAAAACCTGGGTAAACAGTCAGGATGACTTTGCCGATCAAGACTCCTCCAGGCTTGGAGCGCCCCTTCACACTTGCAGCTTGATGTCTTACTATGTCTTACTTGTGAAACCAGCGATAACCGAAGCTCTTCAGTTCATGATCCCTGTGCCTTTTTGAGTGTTTGCTGCCGCGCTTCGCAGATTGGTCTGGCTAAGGGTGTTGGAGGTACTTTCTAGGGCTGGTCGACAAATCCAATACCTGGCAGGGTCCCCCACACCCAAAGCATCGCTGGTTCGACACAAAACGGGAATGCTGGCCTTGGCTTTCTTCAGCCCAAAGACTGTCAAAGCGGTCGTTTTGGAAGTGCACTTAAATTAAGATGCACATCCCAAATCCTGAATGAAAAGCTCCGTGGGCATCGTCTCGCGCACTGTGAAATTTGGGATGCACTAGCACGGCACTCCGTGGAGAATGCAGCGACAGCCAGCAACATGCTTGGCTTCTCTCTCACATCCGGCTCCAAGCCCCAGGCAAGCTACAAAGCTGTGGAGGTCCTGTGTCCACCTGCCGACAGAAGCTCACGCGAGGGTCCGCATTGGATCTGGCGTCTTCTGGTTGTTGTACTTGTAAAGGGAAGTGAGTGTCTTCCATCCCAGCTTCAGATCTCCGACAGGGTCCTGGCTCGACAGGCGACAGGATACATGAAACGTAGACAGGGAAGTGTTTACCAGTCTACCAAGCACCTCCTGTCTTCAAACTTGTGGGATCAAGAAGGTACACCAGCGACAAGACGATTCACTCGACAAGACCATTCACCTGTACTCATGCATGAGGCTCAAAGCTCAGGCGAGATGCGTTGCCCTGGACTGTCTTGTAAAGATACGAGTCGAAGGTCACCTTCTGCACGTACTCTTGACGATCGTCACCAGAGCACTTGGTCACATACCCGGCGGCATCTTCGACGAGGATCGCCCTGTCCTTGACCCTCCAGGGCCTCGGGTGCTCGGGAATCGGGTGGGCCTCTACCCGGATGATCTCACCCCCATCGATGCAAACAGCCGCTCGGTCTCGAATGTCCTGCTGGTATCTTTGAATGCCCTTCTTGTCCACGACAGTGCCAGTGCCAACGGCAACATGATCGCACTTGGGAAAACCCAGGCATAGAAGTCGGGAGAAACATCATCTCCCACATACAATTCGGCCCGGTCCTGCGATGCCAGCAGCACCGCTGAGGACTTTGCGTTCCCATCGCTCAGCCTCCCGCCTCTCGCTGAGGCAGCGCTGCCGCAAGGAGCCAGCTGCACGACGGCGAGCAAGGCGTCCAGCAGCCTTATCGGCTCTCGCATTGATGGCGCGAAGGCGATCCAGCGAGCATCGGCGACACGGAGTCCACGAGGACGGCACCGGTTTCCCATGGCTCGGCACCCAGACCAGCTCGAGATGCGTGCCCTTTGCCTGCAACTGCACAGCCAGAGTACGAAAGCTCTGCGCAAAGAAGGGGAGGCGTCCACCGCCCCTCCAGGTGTCCAGCACGCCCTTGCAGTCCATGGCAAGGATAAAGTATCCCGCGCGTCCTACCCGCAGCAGCAGCAAAAAGGCCTCCAACTCCGCCGTGTAGGAAGACTGGTCCTCGCCGTCGACACCGATGGCGAAGGAGGGCCCATGTTCGATGACACCCGCCGAGGCCGCAACAGCATGAAACCATCGGTGTCGAGGAGGACAGCATCCTCGCCGGGCCAGTGCCCCGAGAGTGCAACAACGAGCTCCTCGTCAACCTCGCCAGGGTCCAGAATCGGCGGGACCTGAGAAGTTCTGGCACAGCACCAGCCAACAATCGCTCGCCCAACCTATCAGTAAAGACCGCCTCATCGACGAGAAATGAGGGCAATGCCAAAGCAAGTGAGGCCTGCTGGGCCTGCTGGGCTCCTCGACATCACAGGGGCACACCGGCAGCAGCTCAAGCTTGTGCCTCGCCTTTTTGTCCCACGTGGAGCAGCCATAGCCGAGGCAAAGCTGCCGGAGGTACAAGTCACCATCATCATGCAACTTCTTGTGCCCTTGAAAGGTGCATAGCGTGGCAGGCGGTAGCCAGCTCCGCCTGAGGGCGGTGATAACCGATGTGCCGACGGCCGCATTGAAGAACGGCCCTGCGGCGGTGCCAATCCTCCAGCCATTTCACGCAGGATCCCAAGACCATCAACGCCACAGCAGGAAACGGCGCAACTGACCTCGGGAATCGGCCTAGTGATCTCACGTCCTCCGTCCTCCGTCTGCCAGTCAAGCTCACGAAGGACCTCCACAGCAAAGCCCAAGACAGCCGGCCATCGCCGGCAAGCCACGTTCAACGGAACCGTTTCCTGCCATGCCCGAGTCTCCGAAAACAACTTTACAGCCTCTCTGAGCGCCGCCCACCTCCGAGTGAACACAGGGTCGCATGCATGGCATGGCCAAAGACCTCAAGAGCAAGTGGAACGGCCTTGTCGAGCCCACACGGAAAAGCACGTCTCCGCAGCTTCTGCGCTTCCTCCAACGCAATGCCACCAAAGGCCCCGGCCCAAGTCCACAAGTAGTCACAGCCGACAGCAAGCGCAGCGCAGCCTCCGCCTGGCCTCATCCACAGAGAAGTTGGCCAGCGTCACCTGGCCGACACAGTCGAAGTCGATCAAGAGGCCGAGGACCTTAAAGGACTTAACCCACTCGTAGCCGAAGACGTGCGAGAGGTCGGCAGCCCAGGCGCAAGCAGAAGAGGAAGCGACCTTGCTCTTCGAGACGTCACAGGTGAAGCCAAGCGCGGCGTCAAAAGCCATGCTCTCCCGGCGGGCGGCAGTAGCATCAGCATCGGCCGTCAGCACAAGGAAGCGGTCGTCGACAAAGGAGGCAGCCCTGACGCCCGGACAGCGTTCCAAACGCAGAGCCCAAGCCATCAGCAACGTCGAAGCCAGGAGAGGGCTGAGCGGACAGCCTTGGCACAAGCCGCGGCTGGTACTGTGCCATCTATCCCCCAGCATCCCACCGGCCGAGAAGAGCTTGTAGTGCTCGCCGTAAAAGCCAAGCACGAATTCGCGGAATTGCCGTGGAGCTCCCAGCCTAACAAGAGCCAGGCCCAAGTCACGGTGGTCCACGCTGTCGAAGAACTTGGACAGGTCCTCCGCAACAACAGCTTGTCCATCCTCGTTGGCGACAAGGATCTGCTGAACGACGTCCTTCAGGGAACGGCGAGGGACACCGCCACTAGCCTGATGCCCGAGCCACTCTTCTGCCCATGTAGTCACTTGCGACAACATTGCCTTGGCTCCGATACGGTAGGCGACACAGAGCAGCGAGAGTGGCCTGCTGTCTCCGTTCGGTTTTGGGATCAAACTGACCCTGGACTGTCTCCAAATGTGTGGGATGGCGCGCAAACGCACGGCCGCACTCCAAAGTCGTGCCAGGCCCAGGCAGCTTCAGAAAGAAGCTGGGTCCATCCGTCGGGCCCGCCGGCTTTGCCGCACATGGTCTTGCCAATGGCCAGAAACTCTGCACCGTGAAAGTTGAGCTCCAAGTCCGAAGCCCGCAGCAGGAAGGGCACTAAGGGCCCGTTCGACGTCCTTGAAGCACCGGTGGCTGCGACTCGTCCACCTCGGCAGCCAGTCGCGCTCGGCCTCAGCCATGACTCTGACAGGATGAACAGCAACTCCACGGGAGAAGTGGATCCACGATAGTGGCGGCTCCCAGCTCCTTTCCCAGACTAGTACGCCGCTTAATCATGCTCAACCCCACGTCTCCAAGCAGTGACAGCAACATCCTTAGCTTCTCGCTCGAGGCCAGCAACAAGGTTCTCGACCAAGCGAAGGGCACCAACCTCGGCGCCAAATGTCCTTTGCAACGCGGCTGTTTACCCCATCGGCACCAATCACCACGTCGACTTCCAGCACCTTCTTCTCGCCCTTGCGAGCATTGCTTGCCTCTTCAGCGAACTCGTTGAAGGTGAGGACGTACGGCTCGTTCTTCTGCTGCGGGATGGTCATACCCATAAAAGCCCGTTGATCAGTGTGGCACCATTCTTCTTGGCCCGTTGTCGGAGGAAGTCATCAAGGACTTCGCGGCGAACCATGCCAATGAATTCGTCATGCTTGAGGGTCTGACCAATCTGGACTTCCTTGTTGGTGAGCGAGATCATGGCCATCTTTTTGACCTGCCGGTCAACAATGTCTTTGGGAAGGCCGAACTCGTCGATCATGCACAATGGAATCGCACCACCACACGGCATGCAGTTGTCCATCTTCCGCTCGATCAGGTAAGTCTCGATTCCCTCCTGGGCCAAAGCATCTGCAGCACTGGCGCCTGCAGGCCCTCCGCCAATCACCGCCACCCGGAGCTTGCGTCCTTCAGGCAGCGTTGCACCTGCGCAGACAATCACCTTGGCCTTCGACAACGAGCGAGGCTTGTGCATCCGGGCGGTGCTGCTGCAGCCCTTCGTCAGGGTGGCACGGTGCTTTCGCCTTTGCCCTGCTGCGGCCATGGCGCCCAGTGCGGCGACGCCCGCCACGGTGGCATAGGTCGAGGCTGAGGTCCCGGCCGGCTGACGTAAAGACTGGGTCCTCTCCACCGAGCTGGCCGATGGCAATGCCACGAATGCGGACATGGCGATCACAGAAGCAAAACTGCCTACTTGAAGCCAGACTGTGAGGTACGGCACTCTCCCTATTTTACTTATTGACAGGCAATACCACTTCACAATATTGCATGTGACGCTCGGCAATCGCTTTCTGCTCGCGAAGGTTGCATCCGTCTCAGGTCGGCAACGGTGAGCAACTGTAGAACGTGGAGGGATGAGCACTCCACTCTACACATGCGGCAATCACGCAACACTCGTTCCTGCAGCTTTCAGCTCTGCCTGCCCTGGCAGTCTGCAGCCAGTCTCACGAGCATTCGCCGTGAGCAAGCGCAGCAGACATGCGCGTCTGCACTAAACGCAGTGGGGCGGAAGCCTGAGAGGCCCAGCCAGCACTGCTGGCCCGTCTTTCCCACAGGCGCTTGCGAGAAGTTCAGGACAACTGCTGCGAGCAATGGCTGTGGCGCAGGGAAGTCGAGTCTCTGAGCTCAGATAAAGTGCTTCTTCTCGTAATATCGCATCCTGTTGAAGAACATGGCGCCGAGCACCGAAACGCAAACTACCTGGCAACATTGGCATCCATTACGAAGCGGCATCCTTGCTGCATCAGCGTTCCGCAACTGCACTGCCTTTCGGTCAGCGGTAGCAAACTCAGTCGACATCAAACCGGCAGGAGAGACGATCAAAACGAAAAGCAGCTGGGATTGAGAAGAACCTTACAAAGACTGCAATGCTTGCAGGCCCAAAGCAGATCATGCAGATCACAACAAGCCCTCCATGACATGGGCGTCCGACCTGCAGCTGCATAATCCTTGACCGTCTGCGACTGATCAACAACAGATTGGACCTTCAAGCCCAACCAGACGATTCTCTGTGCCGCTCTCTGACGCTCAAGTCTCCGGTGCACCTTCTGCTTGGCATCTGCTGACGCCATCCTCTTGTTCTGAGTGTCCTTTGGAGGCCGGAGTGTCGGAGTATCGATGCCCTTCGATGTGTCTGGGGGCAGGCCCCGCGCCTTCAGCCGCGATGCAGCATCCCGGGCCTGCTGAAGCGCTGCCTCGTTGACCTCCTGCTCGAGCCCCATGGGGCAGAGCTGTCTGGAACACGAGCTTAGCCAACACATCTTCACATGTCCAACATCGCACCTCCAAAGGAGGGTCGGGGCGGCGAACTATCATGTGTAAATTTGAACAGGCACATCCCCTCTAAACATCGACTGTCACCCTGGCTGAGTGTCCTCACACGGAAGCAAGCGGCAGCCGGTCCCACGATTGACACAGGCACGGTGTCACACCCCCTACACCGAAAACTCGCAAACATCCCCTGCAGCCATGTTCGCGGTCCATTGGCAGAGGTCCGCAACATGTCTTGGTGCACATCTGTCTGACATGTGAAAGCCTTCAGTAACTGTGCTTACAGACAAGTCCAACTGAAACCAGTTCAACATAATTGGTCAGGACATGGTCATGCTGGGCGACGTTTCATCTGGACCATGAAACAGTGGAAAAACACCTTGCCTGCACGAACATTCGCAAAGAAGATGTTTGGAAGACTTTCGCAGTTGCAGTTCAAAGGAATGCGTGGATCAGTATGCTGAAAAAGCCGTTGTCCGAAAATCCAAAGCTTCCTCTGCATAGGTGGTTCCATGTTTGCCGTACAGGCATTGGTCTTTCGTTGTTGCTTGGGCTTTTGCACCTCCCTCGGTGGATGATGACTTCGTCTTGCCCGCAGCAAAGGCAGCCAGCTTTGATTTGGTGGAAACATTGCAACCGTCTAAACAGATGCCACATGAAAAGATGAAAAGATGCAGATCTTGGCCCGACAAAAATGCCTACCTTGTTCCGTTCGTCAGTGAAACTCTGCTTGCTTTTTCACAAGCATACATCAGAGACCTCAAAAAGTGAAGGACAGCCCTGACGAAGACATAGCAACAAGGAAGTTCACTGCGAGTGATCTGGCGTAGGAACACAAACGCCATCTTAAAGTCTTCAAATGTTTAGCAGACTTCGCAAGCTTCGACGCACAGCCTGTGCCAAGCTCGAGAAGTATCTGCACCCAATCAGGCGTCAGAAAAGCTTGAACGTTGAACAGACCTCTACTTCTCAAGTATTCGCTTGCAGTCGTGTGCTCATCTATGATCTTCAAAGGAGTACGTATTCATCCCAGAAGTGGTGTTGATCCCCTGTGTTCCGACTTGCAGCAGAACTTGGTTGGATTTCATGTTTTGGCATTTGCGGCCTGCTTATAATACAGTCCATGTAACATACCGCGCGAAAGAATCCAACATGATCAATGTCATTTCCTCGAGACCCGACTGCCCCCCCCCCCCAGAACCTCGTGCCCCGACAAAGTTTGGCGGTGCGATGTACTTGAGCTGTGTGACAGTGGCACTTGCAGCCGGCGGCTGCCGTGATTCCTACCCACGACCAGCAGGCTGGCTCCCTCTCTCTGGCTGCCCACCCCCACTCGGGCAACTTCCGACCGTTGCCTTGCCCGTCGTCAGCAGGGTTTTGACCTTGCCCAGGTGGTTCTTGATGGCCTGGTCCGATCATGTGCTGCGCGACCCCATCCGAAACACTTTCGCAAGAAACCCACCTCTGCATGAAGCTGGCCGTCTTCTGGGGACCAAGCCTGTGCATGCATCATTGGCTTGGCATGGCATGGCATGAATATCATCAGCACGTCCAACTTGCCCTGAATTCGCAAACGCTGTTTTTTTTGTGCCAGCACATCACACCCGTGATATGCCGTCGATACACGCACACCAGAGCTCTTGCAGCTCCTGGTCGCTCGTGGCAACTCCGGCACGAACCCTTCAGCGGAACACATTCAGCCTCCAGTTGGGTGGCTTAGTTTCATTTTGACCTGCGTCATACACCTGCGTGGCTTGACGAAGTGGTGGAGCAATTCACCTTCAAAATGCAATCGCAGAAGGCATGCGCAAAGTCGAGGACACGGCCAAGCAAAGTCTCGTTTTCCATTTCCAAGCGGCCCGTCTCAAGGTCCCACAGGTCGACGTTGTAGTCCCAGGAAGCGGTGGCAATCCGCTTCTTCCCGAAGTCGGCATCGACTGCGACTGTCATTTCATGCTTGCAATCGATGGACGACTCCCACGTCGGCATGCCACCATCCAGAGACCAGATCTTTACGAGCCCGTCATCGGAACCCGTTGCGAGTCTTTTGCTTTCCCAATCCATCGCAAGGCCTCGAAGCTAGACCCAAAATCGCTTCCCGACCTAGCTCCCAAAGCGCAGCGAACAAGCCAAGTCTCAGTTCGGGTTGTGACCAGGAGTTTCACACATTGCAAACTGGCAACGCTTCCTGTCGGAGGGACAATGTCAAGCCACAACGCAGCCGGCAGAGCAGCCGGCAAATCCGGAAAACACAGAAGACAGAAGACGTCGAAAAAGTTGAGACTGGCAACAACAAAACCCTAGCCGTGAATTCAAGAAACCAGCCCTCTCTCAGGTAGCATGGCTTTAGCAAGTTTACTCGAACAGTTTTCATGTGGTGGCTCAACAGCAAGAGGTTTCTGCATCGCTGCGACGCTTTGTCATTCGCGAAGTCAAAACGGCACGTGATGATAATACTAAAGTTTTCAAATCAAGCTCGGAAACGGCACCCTGCTGGGCGGATTGAGGAGACTTCTGCGACGTTTGTCTTGTGGCACGATTTCCGCAATAAGGTGAAGTTTGAGATGCGATAGGGTAAGAGAGCATAATTTTGCGAGCGCATCATTTGCGGTTATGAGCTGTTCAAGCGAATTCCAAGCGGCCGACAGAACGAGATTCTCATGTACAGTATCCCCGTGTCCCTGTGCAGAAGCCCTGCAGCGGCCTGTCGTTGGGGACTGCAAGATGAAACTTCGACTTGCTTGGAAGCTGCCAACAGCGACGGCAATTTCATGCGCGAGTAATGCGGCTTTCGCAACACCTTGAAACTTTGTGGTTGCTGCTGCTTTCAGACCCGAAATTTGCTTGCAGCAGTCTCTTCTTGCGCAGATGGCGGTGTTCCACCAACCTTGCGACACCTTGTGGAAGTTAAGCCTTGCCGAATTAGATCTTTTGGCTGTCAAGGGGTATAGCAGGATTTGAGATGCCGGGAGCTGTGGCATCGTGAGGAAGATTTTGCTGCGTGCGCAACCCGTGTTCTGCAAGTCTAGGCCTCGGTCACACAGCTAGAAAGCTCACCGTCTAGATTGTCAAGGTCCAGTCTTGAAGGTCGGAAATCAACCCATGCCGAAGGCCGAAACAAGCGAGGTCCTCAGATCCCACAAGATGAATCGGTACTCGTTGGCTGCTGATGCCACCATCCAGTGGTGAAAATCCACGTCGATGGCACTGCCTGTTGGTGAAAATGTTAGCCTACAGAACACATATCGGACGCACAAACACTCACAGAATGACGAAAATTGGCACTAGACCTACCTCTTGTTGCGTGTTTAATACCAACTGTGAGATACAATGAGCCAACTGCACTTAACTTAAAGAAACGAAAATCAAACGAAACAATAAACGCATATAGTTGTTCTGAGGCAGGGCTATGCCTGTACCTTCTAGTTGCATGGACCTCCAGACCATCTCTGCCAAGGCACAGTTGGCATTGTGTCCAACGAATTTGTGAATGAGCTTCGCTGTTCTCAAATCCTCACGTGAAAAAGACTGGCGACGGCTTAAAGTCAAGAAAAAGGCTGCAGAAGCAAAGACAGACCGACCATGCACCTGCATCCGATTCCCATAAGAGTTATTGACGGCAAAGCACGTAACAATGTACGAAGCTGTCCCACGAGCAGGATACTGCCAGGTTCTCTTCCCAGTCCACACGAAGACCCTGCATACTGAGATGGCAGCAGGCTGCAAGCTAGGCCCAACAGCTAGTCTCTTCTGCTTTTGCCCTTGCTAAATGCTGCGAGTCAAACAGGCCTTGCAGTGATCTTGATGGCCAGGCAGAGATCTAAGCGGGCAACTAAGTTCAATACGGGGCATGACTGTCGCACACATCTTCACCCCGGCCGAGCCACGAAACAAATGCTTGATTTCGCACATCCACAATTTTGATGGAACCAAAGTTTGTTCCAACAGCTGCTTTGCCATCTTCAAGCGCCGCATCCTGGGTGGGATCAAACTAGTCGAGGACTGGCAGTGGAGGATATTGCGGGATCGGAAAATCTAAGGGGCTTCGCATGCGAACAAGATAAAACACGTACCACTGATGCCTGGCAATTCACATCAAGCCACAACAAACGATCACACATCCATGGCAACATGTAAGTGAAACATAGCTGATTGCCAGATTGCTGCTTAAAGGCAATGCACAGAAAGCCTTGTTCTGCAGTTCTGTCTTTAAACGAGTAGAAGAGCTCCCTCTTCGGATCCTGCACCAGCCAGAACATGCAGGATCTCTCGCAGTAAATCTCGGCATGCTGCATTTCCCCTACCCCATGAGGCCCATCAGCTAAATGGAGCTAAATGCCCAGCCCCGGCTGGGTCTGCCTCATGCACAGAGTACACAGCGATCTTGCCGTCAACACCACACGTCAAAAACTGCATCTTGTGCCTTATTCTCCTTTGTCTTGCTGTCCCCAAGCACACTCCCAGCACTCCACGCTGTCTCTGCAATTCAGTCACCAATCGACGGCGAAGTCAGTGCATGGCATGGAGTGGACCTGCTTGCACCTGGACGTCAGAATATGTCAGAATGTCTGGGAAACAACAGCAATGAAGGATTCGGGTCGGAACAGAACTTTCGCATGCACCACCATCCAAATCGCACCGGCTTACCCTTGCCAAACCAGGCCTCACGACCGGTGGAACTCGATTTCCGGGAAGGGCTGGCCAAAGAAAAAGAAAGCCGTCACAGCCCGTGGCTGCCACCCAATCTGCCTGATCTGCTTCAATCGCTGAAACTGCCACTTGCCATGCCGTGCTGCTGCGCTGTGCTGCCTCTGCCTTGCCAAGCAGCATTGGTGCCGAGCGCCTCCCATAACTCGAGATCAGGCCCTGGTACGTACCATTTCGAGTGATAGCCTTGTTCACATGGCTGGGCAGACGCAGAGTAAACCAAGACATGGCAACAAAGCCGAGGGCAGATGAGGCGGCGGCTGCTTGTGTCCTCATGTAACGGACTCGTCAGATCATACTGATCCAGAAGCCACTGTTCCTTGACATACACAATTCACTGCTACGCTTCCAGTGGTCATGGCTACCTTCACGACGTCATACAAACATACGGAGGAAATGTCTCGACCAGGTGTCATGAATCGTCTTCTCTGACAGGAAACGGCGAGCATGCTGGCAGTCCAGAACCAGCCTGAACCCAGAAATGGGAACGACGACTTCTGGGCTTTGGCACTGCAAAACAGAATGAACGTCTGAGTGATTGATTGCCTGTGGACCTGCAAGTAAGTTTGCCGGCATGCCTACTGCAGCAACAGGCATGCCACGCTGCCTCCCGTAAGCCACGTCATCTTTCGGTTCCCTGTAATTACGAGAAGCCAGGACCACCAGAGCCGAACAGCAAAACAGCCATGAGATGAAGTGAGGCCACAGAGCCACTTGAGCACCCGCACAACCTTGGATCCCTCCCCCCCCCCCCGCGAAGCGGAGCTCCGGACAGGTTTCGGCGAATGAGGGAGATGACGTAAAGGCGATATCGTTTGTCATGGCCGCATCCTTGACAAGTGGAAGAATCACTGGAGCTTCGTGTGGTATACACGCACGAACAGGGTACTCTCGCCGAAGCCCGCCAACACCGTGATTTCCTCGTGACAGGAAGCCAAACAACCAACAGTGACAACCACTTGCTCAGCTTGATACTCGTGGCGCTCCCCCTGGTCCTGTGTTTTTCTACAGCTGGTATGAAGCAAGGCTTGTCAAACTGGTACTTCACCCCACAGAAAAAATTACAAGTATACCCTGTCCAATATTCAACACACAAACGAACATGTGACCACACACTGCTATATAAACGTGCTCCTGGTTTGTACGATCTTACCGCGGATTCACTGCAAGGAGGCCCTGCCCTGTGCGTCCCTGTGCACCCGGGTAGCCTGTCGACATCACCATACCTCGCTTCAAAGAAGCGCATGTCCTGAAAACAGCAGTTGACACTGAGTTGACACACTGCCGGCAAAAGCCACTCTGCCACAAACAGGGCGAAACACTTCAGGATCCTCGCTCTGCATGCACCTCGCAGCCGCATCCACAATGGCCTCTTGATCATCGGGGTCGGTAATTCTTGGCATCTTCGTCTGCACATACTGCCTTTGCAGTTGCAGGCAGGGGGGACGAAATCGAAGGCAAGTACGAAAGATGCTTCCCGAACGGTGAGTCTCACGCCAACTGAATCCTGGGTGGTCTCAGTTCTTGAGGCCGATCACAGCCAGATTTCAAGTTCTAGTTTGCGTGAATCTGTCTTAGAAGATGCTGGGAATCAAAAGACTTCCGAAGGACTGTTACGGTTACGCTCCTTGTGCTAGCACAGGGCAATATGTGCAAACTGCAAACATATACGAAGCAGTTCAGTATGGACGTGGTTTCTGATACCTCTAAGATCCTTCAGGTAATGCTAAGGACGCAGCCAGAATGCCAAAACCATATCTGGAAAAAACGAAAGACACTGCCTTATGCTCGGCCTTGCAATGGTTGAGAGCCGGGTGGCAGCGTGAGCAATCGCATATGCTTTGCCCCGAGAATGCCGCGCTGCAGGAAGTACTCGAAATAGTGCAACAGCCCGATGCCTCAGCTTCTTCAGCGCTGCAGAAGCACAGCAAAGACCGGAGCCCCTTTGTGTACGAGGCATGAAGGTTGACTGATCAAAGGGTCGAGAGCATGGAAACCTGTCCTACGACTGGTGTTTCGGGTGCTGGCACGACACTGTAAGCCCTTTCAATAGTCGAGACGGCTCAAGCCATAGCCAGAAGCCACGAACTAATTTCAAGTTGGATTCCGTTGTTGCAATCGGGGGCTTGGAAAACAAATATAAAGATGCATTACTGTACCTTTTCCATCTGCTTCGTGCCTTCCTAATGCGTTGGCCACGCCTGCTGGCGCATGACACGCCATCAGAATTACGCAGTCGCTAACTCTTCGGCAACTTCGCCCAGACGGCCACGAGAAGATTCGGAAACAGTCAGAGCGAAGATAAGAACATCAGTGCTTGATTGTCTGCTCTTCAATCAACAGCTGCAGCTATACAGGAAGACAGTGCAAGAATCTGTGGAGCCTATGTGTCATACATGCATCAACTCATGGTGTGCTGACAGGCAGCTTTCCAACACACTGGCAACTTGCAGGAAGCTCATCTTGATTATCTCCCACATCCTGTCACAGAACCGAGACGTAGAAATACAGCCCGTGATTTCGCGAAAAGTCTGCCGTTCTAGCCCAAACAACCACAAAGAAACTGTCTGAGACGGCGAGCAATCCAAGACCTGCAACAGCCGAAGACTACTTAGAGAAGCAACATGCTCGTCTGATCCATGGCCTGTCGTCATCACTGAGTCCTCTTAACCTTTCATCATCATAGAACAAGCCTTGCAGGGACATGCTTGAAAGGCCGCTGCACAACTACATGAAACCAGATCCAGAATGCTCACGGCAGCAAGATTGGTTGGCCTTCTCGGGCCATCTGGTGTTCTCTCTGATCATCCAGCCTCTTCTCCCATGCCAGTTTCTCTCGCCTTGGGTGCACCGGGAAGCATGCAAAGGGTCATCCACAACGTGGCCACAGCAAATGTGAAGACAGTATCAGCCTGTCTGTCTCACTCGGTGATGACGGCGTCACGACGATAGCGATGACGACAACGATCATGACGACGATGATGATGATGATGATAATGATGACGATGATGATGATGGTGATAAACATGAAGATGAAAATGGAAGTCAATATGAAGATAAAAACGATGATGATGATCATCATCATCATCATCACCATCATGCTTCAGACTCACAACGCATGCCGAGTCATGCAAATCCATTTTAAAGCTTTCATCGAAGCGGCCAAACCTTCTTCTCGGACTCGTTCAGTTCCACAGCCGGTGTTTGAGAGTCAGCAGGTGGCATTTCTCCAAGTCAAAGGCATGAGGCAGGCGATGCTTGCACCCTGATACCCCCGGCATGCCTCCCTGAGCCCATGGGTTAAGCTGCAGAGATCCTACGAGTACACCGACGTGAGAGACTCTCGTCGCTGCTGCTGGCCTCGGTTGCTGCCAAGTAGGTGCCGACGTCCGCACTCAGGTGCTCCAGGCCTCTAGCGATTCCAGCGAAAAGAAGCGCTTCCGCGGGAATGGAGAAACACCGCTCGGGGCAGGTGTAGCCCGGAGAAGGGCTGCGGTAACCGGGATCCGGCTGCAAGCGCTGGGTGACAGACGACCATCCAAAGTCACCAGGTCAGACCTGATCGCTTCCTCCAGGGCTCCCTCTTCGGCCTTAGACAGGAATAGCATTGCAGTCCCAGTCAACCTTCCGCGATTCACACGGTCTCTTCCGTGGCTGACCACTGCGAAACAACCGAGCCCCAGACAACATGGTCGCCAAGGAGCTTAGTCAAGCGCTCGATGGCCTGTACCACGGCCGCCAAAGGGACCACCAGCTTGCCCCACACGTCTTTGAAGCAGCCATTATTGCGGTGCAGTCAGATAATGGCATGGTACTGAAGACCTCTGCTTGCCTCACGCTGCGAGACCCGATCGATAAAGCGAGCTTCATCAGCCAGGGCCTAAAGCAAAGTCAGCGAGCTACACCATGCTGCTCACAACCACGAAAGATATTGCGAGATGGTGGGCCTCTTTCCATTGCTGTGACTGGGCAATGCTGAAGCCGTCCTCTACATGGCACCGTGTCGGATTCCCTGACACACCACTAGATCGCCACTCCTCTCCCACCACGTGCGGATCATGATTGAAGGTGCCCAAGTAGTTCAGGTTCACCTCCGGTCCAGTCGGTCTAGGACCTGGGAGTCTAGGACTGATGCCCAACTGCGCCTCCATACCGAACTTGGTGCCGCTGTAACCTGCGACAGGTCCAGACTCAGGCTGAGAAGCAATGCCGTGAATCCGCGCATGTTGTGGAAGGTTAGCTCCGCCTGTGAAACCGTAGAACATGTTCGGCACGGGCACCTGATAAGTTTTTTCCAGTGATAGAGCCGATTGGGCATCTTCACTCACACAGGCACAGATTCTCCGATCTGATGATGAGACGCAGCACTGCGAGGGTCTTGGGAAGGAAGATCGCAAGCCTTTGCCATGGCTCGTCCTCGACTTCCTGGACGTGATGTTGGTACAGCGGACATTTACCCAGGTTCATTACAGTGCACGACGCTTTCTGTGCCTGCCCACCAAGATAAGCTATTGCCTCATGCAGCAGTTCTGACATGCCCGAGTCACTGGAGAACGGAGGTGCTGCCATCAATTTTGGAAGTATAGTCCATATGTGAGTATCTGCCGATTCTAATTCTAGTCTCACAGCCAGCAGGCAGCAGGGAACATCCCTGACAGTGAAGCTTGAATCTGTGGCCCCTGCTCGGACAGGAAAGTCGGGAAGCTCTTGCACCGCTCGGTTGCCTTCGAGTTCTGCTAGCATCAGTACACTCAGTACACGTGCTGTGCTGATTCCCTCCCGAAGCCTTCGAGACGCAGAACGAAGTTAGCTTCGAACAGGGTTATGTTGAGTTTTCCACCTTGCCAGCAAGTATGTTCAAACACATGTCACACGCACATATTTCCAGCCTTGCCTGGGAGCACGTTCCATCGTCCGGAGTTGGGATGACCCTGTGGTTCGTCGAGCAGCAAGTACGAGCATTGGTGGGACCATGCTGCACTGCCTTCCAACTCAGCGTATTGTCAGGCTGAAGGACAAAAGTTCCTTTCACCTCATTGTCCGACTCTGGCACAGAAAAAACTGCACCCCTCGAATTTGTTGTCGGGCACGCAGATAGTTTGATGATGGGTGTGGGCGGGGGTGGGTCGGTGTGGGTGGTTTCGGGTGGGTGGCATGCCGAAGTGTATGTTCTGTCTCTGCCTGTGTAATGAGGCATGTGTCTCTGTCTGTGTGTCTGTCTGTCTGACTGCTTGCTGGTCATGTTGAGTCTCTCGGCTTTGATTGCTGCAGTCCTGAAGCTCCTCAATGGATTGGTGCGGATACCTGCGAATGTAGTCTGATCCTTTGGATCTTATCTTTGCATGCCGAAGAAGAAAAATCGCACAATCCCTGAGCGAAGCCTTGTGTGCGATGCTCGGTGTGGGCGGCATGCTTGGTGCTGAGGCGGAGAGGCTAAGGTGAAGGCCTCCTGACCATCTGGAGCCCAGGACCACACGGCTCCCGCAAGATGGGCCATACCCTGATCTCTCTTCGTGAGTGCTCGCTCTGTGCAGCACCTACATGCCAGGCCCGGTTCTTAGAAGCTGGCTGCCTGCCGCTTGCTCACGACGATGCTGCCATCAGCATGCACCCTGACCTCTGCTTCACTCCAGCAACTCTTCGGCCTACGAAAGCAACCGACCCGTTCAGAAGATAGCAAGATCTCCGGGCGAAGTACCTTCACCTTGCCGGTGCAACAGGCAATGAGACTCTGTGAACATCCAGGTCTACATGCACAGCCTGTGCATCTGTCAAGTAGAAGATGCAGAACTGAGCCTGAGTAGATGCGGTGTTCTTGTCCGGCAGCCAGTCGCTAGTCACAACCTTTGCCCTGGAGTCCTGCCGAAGGTGCGAAAGGTCATTTGAGTTCAGCTTGAGCAGCTTCCGCTTCCTTCAGTACATCTTCCAAAGGCGTCGGGATGGGCCGAGTCCCATCCGAGAACACGGCAGCGACCGTCTGCCTTCCACCATGACGAGACGACAGCCTGACCTAACACCTTGAACAGAATTGGGCCTGAGTTTCCGATCCTGGTCAAAGGGGAGGAAAATGACGGCAATCCCCTTGAAGTCTGGCCTGGGCTTACAGGCCACCAATGAACTGCAGTGAACAAAGACCACTGAATGCACTGAAGACCAGACTTGCAGCCATTTTCAGAGTATCCAAGCTCTTTCAAACCCACTCTCCTCGGCTTCTTGGCTGGTGCCCGGCACGCAAACACTCCTCAAAACACAAGACACCCACCCTTCAATCTGCCGCTGAAGCACCAATCCATGTTCCTATCACGTAGCACTTTCTCCACCAGTGCCTTTCGGAGACTACATTCGTTTGCAAGCATCAGCATAATTGCTATTGTTTGCTCGTCCAGCCTTCTCGTTGAAATTCTTTGTGCAATCCTCTGTGCCCATCCAGAAAGCCAGACTTCCATCCTCCGCGGGAGACAGGTAGTTAGCTAGGCAGGCAAATTGACCTGAGATTGCAAGAACTTTCTCGTCCTGTTGTGTGTTTCGCGGGAGGCTGCCAGAAATTGCGAAGACAACTTCAAAGTCTGTAGATTGAATCACCTGCGTCATATGTGCAAACACATCATGACTCAAACTGTTCCATGTTGGCCAGCACATGACCCGAACGAAGCTCCCCCCCACAGTCCGCCCCTCCTCTTCGAGACACAGTTCTGCACTGTTCCCCGTTGAATTTGGAAAGCCACAACCAGTCATCCAAGCTGGCTCTGTCCGCGTCTGCTAATGGGGCTGGGCTTCGGGCCTTCTTGTTCCATAGGAACGCATGTCTGTTTGCAATTGCAGGCATCAGAAGCACCCGGTCCTGCAGTTGAACAGCAAATAAGGAATGCGGCATACAAAAAGAACTATGACATCGTCGGTGTCTGCCCAAAGTCCTGCATCGACATGCTTGCGGCACTGAGCAACCTCACACAGCAAATATGATCGAAAGACTGATGTGTGGAGGAGCAGTCTGAGTGTGATGCCATGTTTCGTCATCATCATGCCACGGCAATGTACGCTCAAAAGAATGTCTTGGCAATATCCAGCTGTCGCCAGGACCACGCAGATGTCCTTTCGACGTACGTGTCGTTCTCAAGAAAAATTTCACTCGACTGACAAGCCTGGTGGTACCCCACCAATTTCCAGAACGACCTTGGGTAGGCTTGCTCCGCCACTAAAAGATAACACAATACTCTCCCAGTTCGAGTCGTTTTTGAGGACAGAAGGATGGCCTCATGTTCAACACCAACTGAGCCACTGATCTTGAAGGATGAAAACTTGGCTGGCCTTGGGGTCCACCGACTCAGGCCGAGACCGAAAAAACGGTCACGACACACACTGCCCGCGCTCGCCATGACTGAAACATGTCAAACTTCCCTGAATAAAATGGAGTTAATGATTTTGCCGCATGTGTAATTTTCTTCAAGCATGTGCCATCATGTGCCACACTCCGGCTCTTTTTATTGCGAAACAAACAAGCCCTAGCACAAGCCATTGAAACAGCTTTGCATCATGTTCCGGTATGCCACTGCAATACCGGAGTATCCTTGCATAAATAAGCGTAGAGAAATCATGTCCACTGGATCAATCCACGCTCTGGCTTCATGTCACACTCAACACGCTGGAAAACACAACTGCAAATTGTGCAGGAAGTGCAGGTCAAAAGCCATGGTGTCAACACTGTTGTTTTTGTAATGCAAATGCAGCCAAATTGTGCGCAATAAATGAGCCAGATCAAAATTGCCCAACGCTGCGCCAGACGTGGCAAAAACTGCTTGCAACGAGTTTTAGCACATGAATGTATCCCAAAACATCCAGCACCGGCTTCCAAGATTTCCATGGCGTAAAACATTTCTTTTATTTTGGATCGTTTCCATCCTTATGGCCCGGAAGCTGTGCATCCAGTGAGCATGTGCTGCTTGAACAATGGCAGACTCTAGTGCGCTCTAACGGCTCCAGTGTGACGCATGGTCTGAGCAATGAATGACAAAACAAAGAACCTGTTCTTAAATGCATCACAAAACGACATGCACACATTCACACTGTTGAAGAAAGCCTGGGTATTGACAACCCATTGTTGAAAACAAGCATGTGACGCACAAGTGCACTGCAGGTACAATCGATGCGTAATGAGCGTCTTGTGTTTCAAGCCTTGTCACCGAAAGGGTTCCATCATGCCTTGCAAATTTTGAATTCCAGGGTGCACGGGCGATGTGGGCAGGCCATCCGAGCATTCGGATGCCGACAGAAGGCTCGAGTGGAAAAACAGTGGCATCGGGGAGCATAGCGCTACCCAAGCGGGTATTCCATTCCACGAACACTGCACAACACCACTTCAAAATGTGCCAAATTGTTGTAAGTTTTTGTCATTAACCAAGAAGAAGTTTTGAAACGCCGCTCTTAAATGAAGAGTTCCATCACGCTTTCGCAGGGACGTCTGCTGAACTACCATATTTAATAGCAAATCCTACTGCGGTTTTTTTTGGGCGAATTCCCAAAACCATCGCAACATTCTACACGAGCGAGTGCCAACTTGCAGAATTGACGGTCTTGTGGTATTTATCCTTTTTGCACGTTCCGCAGCCAAGAACGCAAACTTCCTGCTTTCTTCATTGCAAACTAGTGAAGTTTATCTTTATTTTGCGCGATTTCTTTCAAGACAACAAAGAAACAATTGGGTTCTCTAGGTCGCACTGCTCTATCACTTGA